TTTTCCCTCTATAAATAAAAAACCATTTTTGTACAAAAAAAAAAAAAAAAAAAAAAAAAAAAAAAAAAAAAAAAGTGATCCCACAAATGTCTTTCAGGTGGTAGCTGCTTAAACGTAGGAAATATCATAGTTACAGAATTTTCACTCTTATTTCACTGGCATATTCTGTAATATTTGGCTTTTTCTATACTAGTGCAAAAAGAGCCCCTTTGGTCAAAGCTTATTATTGACTTTTGAGTATATTGACTTACTGAAAATAAGTAATCCACTTTCATACTCAGAATGTATCTATACCTCTGGAAAGGCCAAACAGTTGCTTTAAGGCACAGTTTTGTTTGGGAACTGATAAAACTTGGTAGGAAGTGGCAAATTCCTGTTTGGTAGGTAGGGTGGGAAACGCCTGCAACCAAGACCCTTCAGGGTGAGCTATCATGTACTTAGATAGCTGGAGCCTCTGTAGTCAGAACAAGCTGTAATCTTGTGCTGAAATGTCCTTTATGATGCCATTTCTTATTCCAAAAATGCAAAACAGTCTGAGTTTTCGCTATTCTTTCTCCCATTCATCCCTCAAACTCTCTCTCAAGTTCTTCTCATCATCAAGCATTGCTCAGACACGTATAGGCATCATATTTGTTATGCCCATTTTATTCATACTGATTTTTATCTGTGATCCACTCCTGCACTGTTAGTGCAAAAGGAAACTTTGACCTGGAACTTTGCTGTTTCTTGCCATCTCTTCTGTTTGCAACTGCCTAACCTTGACAAAATAATTAATGCCAAGTCCACAGATGATTACTGTTTCAAGCTTCATTTTTATTTCTCTTAAGATGAAAGGATATAGTGGCTGATGTGAACGTCTGTCTGTTACATGTTCTTATCAGTACTATCCCTCATGTAAGCGCAGACAATGTGCATTTCATTACTTTGTATTTCAGCATTACAGCCTTCCTTAGAAACTGATGCCTAAAGTTTATTAAGTTAGATTTTGCCAAGAAAGATAGGTTTTGGAGGAAGATTTGGAGGAGTAAGTTCAGAAAGATAATTCTGCAGCTTTGCATCTGTGGACTGAACAATCACAAGCACTTTCCTTCATATTATTTTCAGTTATCAGTCTCTTCCAATCCAAGGTAATTCAGTTTAGTCACTCAAAGAACTATTTGCCCTTGAAAGTAAAAATTCCCATTCCCTTATACTCAGAAAACTAAGATGCAGTCCATTCATCCAGAATTAAGGACTGAAGATGCCCTCCTCATATTGTCCAGATACACCACAAATTGATCAGTGGATTCTCACAAAGTTGTCAGTTGCAATTACTCTCCTTACATAAGTGATATCTTGCAGCTTGTACTGAAACTAGGTAGACAGCACTACCTGAAAATCTAATGAGGTCTCAAAGATGAATGTAGTAGTTTGTTTTTTTGCTGCTTAACAGGTTGGTATCTTCTTGAACCTTTGCTCTGCAGAAAATCCCCGCCCTTGCATGAAACATGGCTGTGTTTCACATCCATTGACAGAGATGTGATTTGTTTGTTTGTCACAGACACGGAGACCTGTGATTATGGCTGGCACAAGTTCCAGGGACAGTGCTACAAATACTTTGCCCACCGGCGTACGTGGGACACAGCTGAAAGGGAATGCCGTCTCCAGGGAGCACACTTGACAAGCATCTTGTCTCATGAGGAGCAGATCTTTGTAAACCGTATGTACCGTTAGCAAGTTTAAAACTGTTAGAAAAGAATCTGCATTTTTATAGACGTCTCAAATTAAAATTAAAAAGCTGAACAGCAGCCTGTATATAGTTGTTTTCATAATGAGTAGAAGAATCTTAAGAACAGGATGTCTGATTCATTCTGTGCAAATTCTTTATATTTTCTTTGGTGAAATCTCTTCCATTTATGGGAAGGCTAATAAAAATATCCTTCTGGTTCCTTAGGTATTGGTCATGACTACCAGTGGATTGGCCTCAATGACAAAATGTTTGAGCGTGATTTCCGCTGGACTGATGGTAGCCCTCTGGTAAGATGCCTTTGTAATGAAGTCACTCCTTCATTTCGTTTTGTGGTGGCTTATCAAATTCCCACCAGGAAGGAGGGAAGCTGCATGGAAAAAAAATGCAGTCACTAAATATGTACCCAAGCAAGCAGTCAGTTAGGAAACAGCCGGAAAAAAATGCAGTAATTATTGCAAATTTTCAAATTACTTGCATAATTGCAAAGTCCGCAAACTCTTATTTTGAGCTATCAACTTTTTTGTGGTTTAGTTCTAAAATGTATTATTATTTCTTCTTACTGTATATGTGGGAGCTCTCAAAGCTTCCAAGCACAAAAACTAAAAAATTCTGCGACTGTAACTTAAGGGTGTCTTTGTGAGCTGGTTTGTGCTCTTCTGGTCTTACACAAGGACAGAGGTGGCAATGCTCCTCTCTCTTCTGAATATACAGCAGAATGTTTTTTTTTGGATGAGGATATGGCATTCCTTGGGTCCATCAGAATACACAGAGAAGCCTGTCAAGTGTTGTTGGAGATTTTTCTAGTCTCTATGGCAGTTTTACAGCTAGGATGGAGAAGCAGCCATCCTTGGGTGCTTCAGGAAGCCTGTGGCTAATAATCTGTCCAGAAAAGTTTAAGATGTTGCTGATACATCTTATTGCCTTAAAACATGAAGGAAAACCAGCAGGAGGAGTGGGAGAACATTCTACTCACCTTTAACTAACCTAAAACAAATCACTGGTGGACAGAGGAAATGACTGAGCTCTTTCCAATTCAAAGCAATCTCTCTTGTACAAGGGACAGGTGATTCACTACTGTTTACCACCCACTGAAGAACATTAGATTTAAAAAAACCCCACCAAACAACAAACTGGTTATGCTTATTACTTTCCTTTCCAGTTGTGAATACTTCTTAGAGCAGAAAGCATCTGGAGACATATGCACATGCTCACACATGCACACAATAATCATTGCTGCATACCATGTGGTTACAACTTACATAGAAAGACACCTGGGGCAAAGCAGGCTTCATTTATTACTATTTCATGTAAAGAACCAGAGGTTTAAAGTCCTTTAAAATTACTTGTAAATAAGCCTTTTCTTGGGGAAACTACCACATGTGTCAGGTGACAACATGGGGGGGTAGGAGGAAGGAGAGAGAAAAAGATTATTAAACTTTTTGTTCCTCGACTGATTGCTCAGTGCATCTTTGGTGGTACCAATGCATTCCTTTGTGCTTGAAGCCAAAGAAGACTTGCAGGATGTAAGCAGAAGGGTTTCATTTCATCATTTTCTCTTGCCTACCCCCATGTATTTTTGGGAGGAAAAGATGGCCTATGGCCTTGAATTCTACTCCTTCTGTCTCCCAGCACAGTTTCTTACACCTCATTGACAGTAACAGGCACTCTCTGAAGGTGAATTAGGTTTGACTGGGGCTCAGGACTATTCTAGGAACCTAGACTTCACTAAAGGATCTAAAGTTAGGGGAGTTAAATTTGGGCATAAATGTCTTGCCTGAAAGGCAGCCCATCTAACACTGGGAAGTGTAAAACAAGGTACATGCTCATATATTCCAAAGGCAAACTTGACACATTGCTGAGTCACAGACTCATAGAATGGTAGGGGTTGGTAGGGACCTCTGGAGATCATCAAGTCCAACCCCCCTACCAGAGCAGAACAACCACAGAATGTAGGGTAGGTCACACAGAAATACATCCAGACAGGTCTTAAAAGTCTCCAGAGAAGGAGACTCCATAACCTCTCTGGGCAGCCTGTTCCAGTGCTCTGTAATCCTTACAGTAAAGAAGTTTTTCCTCATGTTGAGATGGAACTTCCTGCATTTCAATTTGTCCATCGCCTCTTGTGCTATCACAGGGCACAACTGAAAAGAGACCAGCCCCTTCTTCTTGACACCCACCCTTCAGATATTTGTAAACAAATGATGAACTCAGGGAAATTAAAATTCAGGCTGAGATTCTATTTTTCAATCCAGGCTACCGGACGACTGTAGTATTACATTTTTACTTTAATTTTCAATTTTAAGAAATTAAGATATTCCAGGAACAGACTAAGACCATCTGTCCAACATATTTCTCTTTTGATTGATCTTTTTTCCACTGTATTTTTCTTTTCCTTATAACAACTTCCCTTTGTCTCTTCTTTCGGAAACAATTTAGGTATCTCTTGAAATCATTTATGTTCATTGTTTCAATAGCTTTCCCTGATAACTTATTCCATATGGTTTCTGGATATCATGGTTCTGGGCAGCTTCCTCATTTGCTTTTTTTTTCCTAGTTTTTAGCTTATTTTTAATACTTTCTAACCACTTTGATGGTTACAGTGATTTATTACTTCCCCAGTAATTCATAGGAACATAATTAAATGTAGGCATCAAATGTATTTCCCAGATGATATCTTAAAATTCCAATGAAGTTGATTACTGTGTGGGTCAAAAAATGACATAATTTATGTATTTGCAGGTGAACAGTAGTGATTATAGCATTACATTCATTAATATAATTTGTGATCATAAAAATCAGCGTTATTACATCAACACTCAGGTTCTAACTTGAATTTCTGAGAATAGAGATAGCTCTTGCATTTAACCAAAATCTAAACAGTCTTCTTGCACTTTACATATCAGAGTGCATACCGAATTCAGCTGTTTCTAGCTTGGTTGCCTAGGTCCATGCTTTCTTCAAAATAATATTATATATCTGCAATTCTATTCAACACTTCTTGGCACAGGGGAAAATTTGTCAAGGTTGCTGAGGATTCCCCTGATGTAAGAGTTTTCTTTGAGATACTACAAAAAAAGTCAGTCCAGCTCTCAGATAGACAGTGCATCTACAAGTGATGTACATTCATCTTTTTATTGTTACGTGTCTGAATTTTCTGCCAATAACTGCTTGATTTAATTTGAAAATTATGCTTACATGATTTCACTAGGTTCTGATGCTTGGTAGAACTTAAAAGAAAAAGCAAATAAACAACAGCAACAACAAAAGGACATGTTGTAGATAGAATTGTTGGCCCAGTGCTGCAGCTGACCCACTACTGACCAGATGAAATAGCTGTGAAACATCTTAATGACTTCTTATAAAGAGTTTTCTTTCTTAACCAAAAATAGCCCTAGAACTGAGAATCATTAAACCACAGGCTCTGACAGTGGAGATTGTGGAACAAGGTTTGAATTACTTTGATACGCATTTTCTGTGGACATAAGGAAACACAGAACTTAAATATTCAGTATGTTGAAAGGAACTCTTTTGCCAGGTGTTGCCATGTATTTTATTAGCAATTTCTGGAAAAAGGATCAAATACCTTCATTTTTTCTTTGCACCTGAAAGGTATTTCAACCAATGAGTGCAATAGAAGGAAACCAGTCATTTTTTGACATTTTCAGCTCATGCCAAGTTGGGTTTTTCCAGATTTTTTAAACAGAAGCTAAGTGCCAGCTACCATTAAATACGATAATTGGACAAATCACGCAAGTTTCTTAGCGAAAACTAACAAGCATATTTCCAAGTGCACATTATTCCTAAACACAGTGAGCCGTTTAATACATGTGCTGATCTTAACTATTTTTGTGGCCTTCATAGTTATATACAGCACTGGCTTATAAATCTTGTGCTCTGTGACTTCCATTGGCTCTCAAAATAGAGGGTGGAGTTTGTGGGGTTAGGGCTTGCTCTTTCAGAGGACACTGAGAGTGTTCATGTGAGATGAGAATGATAAACTCACCTTTGTCATTGGCCTAGTAATGTGAGAAAGCTTAAATTCTCAGATGAGGTTGTGGAAATTTCTCTTACCTCATGAATCAGTGGGTGATAATTTTGCCAATCAAATAAGTAAGGGATATTCAGTTTTCTGTGCACTGTCCAGATGAGATCAATTCATGCCGCCTTCAGTCTGTTTGTTTTTTAAGGCATGAGTAACAATATGACAAAGATTCTTAAAAGTAAGCATATAGAATTAAGGCTCTTACTGGAAAACTTACTCTGAATCTAGAGTACCCTTAACATGCTAACAGCCTTGCTGAAAACAACTACTATTATTTAGGTACCAAGTAGTGGGCTAACAACATTCTGCCATTTCTGGTAACTTGGCATTCTTATTTTTTTAACCTTTATGGAATATAGTGGGTACTAGCTGTTGATCAAAAGCAGCAGCAGTAAAAAATGCCTCTCTACTCCTATGCGTGTTTTTCATGTATCAACTGGAATTCATGTTTAACCTGCAAATTTAATGCCAGTAAGCAAGTTTTGGAATAAATGAAGAGTGATCTTGTAAATACATGTTCTGATTCGGAAGAGTTCCTCAAGGAAAATGTTGGTGTCTTGAATAATGAAGCAAATACCATCATATTAAGTGAGAAAGCAAGTAACATTATTTAAAAATTTTTGGGCACCATGACAATTGTCCATAGTGTATTGAGTCTGCCTGTTTTCCATAACACGAACTTTTAAGACAAGGAGCAAAATAGAAATAGGCACATGCCTAAGTTATAGTATTGTAAGCTGCTCCTACACAGAGGCTTTTAGATCTGCCTCACTGAAGTGTTTGAGGCATAGTGGTACATGTGGTTTTAGAGGATTTTGGCAGGTTTATTTCTTAATTGTAATGTGGTTTTTAATTTAAAACTGCTCAGCAGCTTCCTGTCTTTCAGGTAAAATGGCATAATATTACACAATGAATTGGGTTGTGTATATAAAATCTCACCATCTCCTGGTAAAAGTTGCCTTTTTAACATGCTGGACCCGCTACATTCCAAATACAGAATGGGCCTGAAAAGTAAAAAATAATGTTAATTAAATAGTCGGGTTGTACCCTTTATGTCCCAAAGTTTAATTGTCAGTTCATTCAGTACTTTTCTATAAAAGAAATTACTTTCCAGGGAACTGACACTTCGTTATACTGGATTTGATTGGCCAGGCCAATTTCCTTATACTTGTCTTTCTTTGCAATTTCTTTAAAAAACAAATTGGTAGCTTCTTTGCTAAGGGCAGAGCACATCTTCAAAGTATC